TGGGGTTGGGGCAATCCTGGCCCACGTGTTACCAAATGGAGCGGAGGCCCCCATCGCATTTTTTTCGCGAACCTTAGCTAAAGCTGAACGAAATTATAGTCAGCTGGACAAAGAAGCTTTAGCTATTGTGGCTGCAGTTAAAAGATTTCATGAATATGTTTATGGCCGTGCGTTTACAATAATCACTGATCATAAACCGCTACTGGGGATCATTGCGGGTAATAAACCAACCCCGTACATATTGTCCCCCAGAATGACCCGTTGGTCTGAATTCCTGGCGGCCTACAACTACACCTTGCAACACCGCCCGGGGAAATCGATTCTCCACGCCGATGCATTGAGCAGAACACCGCTCCCAGACGCTGTTGTGGATCCAGCCCCAACCCTCTCAACACTACAGATCGAAGCTCTACATGCACCACCCTTGACGGCTAGAGACATTGCTTTTGAAACGAAACGTGACCCAGTTCTGCAACACATACTACGCTGGGTTGAACGGGGGTGGCCGACGGACCAAATAGCACCTGAATGGGCGCCCTTCAAAGCCCGCCAAACCGAGCTGTTTTCCCAAAAAGGCTGTATCTTGTGGGGCGATCGAGTCGTAATCCCTGGCAAATTGCAACAGACTGTTTTGGCGGTATTGCATGAGGGACATCCGGGTATTGTGCGGATGAAATCACTCGCATGCAGCTATGCTTGGTGACCGGGAATCGACAAAAGAATCGAGGCCTGGGTCGCTACGTGCCAACGTTGCCAGGACGTCAGCAACGCCCCACCTAAAGCAAGCCCAACCGAATGGGAAACGCCGAGGGGACCGTGGTCCCGTATTCATATTGACTTTGCGGGGCCTACCAAAGGTCACACTTTCCTGATTACTGTCGACGCCTATTCTAACTGGCTCGAGATTCATCGAATGCACACAACTACAACAGACTCAGTTATTAATAAATTAAACAGACTATTTGCCACACACGGGTTTCCGGACGTGTTGGTCTCGGACAACGGCCCACAGTTCACTGCATTGCCCTTTGAACAATATCTTGCTGATTGGGGCATCCGCCATGCGCTAACCTCGCCCGCGCACCCTGCGGCGAATGGACGTGCAGAACGCATGGTACAATTTGTAAAAAAGACCCTTCACAAAATGGAATTTGGCAACATCGACGAGAAAATCAATCGAATTCTCTTGTTGCAGCACATCACGCCCCACAGCGTGAACAACAAAACACCCGCTGAACTTCTTATGGGGCGGAAAATATGATCGCACCTTGACCGGCTCCACCCCGCTTTCGCACCGGAAAAACCTTTCGGCTCCAGCAGCAAATGCCGGGAATTTAAGGTAGGCGATTTAATCTTTGCCAAAAACTTTTCCGGCGACCCGTTATGGATACCCGCAACCGTTACCCACCTCACCGGGCCTAGATCTTACCGCCTGCTAACAGACGATGGGAGGGTGTGGAAACGCCACATAGACCAGCTCCGATCGAGATTACCACCCAGCGGCCATGACTCCCCGGGTTCACCAACTCAAGGGGGAGGAAGTATCGAGGGAATTGACTTTGATACAACTAATAGCAGGTCAACGGGAACCCTACAGCCCAGCGAAGCACCGGAACGTGAAGCGGGGAGGGAGTTGACGTTTTCAGGGAACTTTAATACAGGGGAAAATGAACTGCAAAACCCCGAAGAAACACGGAGTAGCAGAGACAACCACACGGAATCGCCGTGCAGCGGAATAGAATTTAACAAAGGTCATCCAAATGCTCCACCGGAACCGTACATTAGACAAAACCCGGTGGAGCCTCGGAAATCATCCAGGCAGACCAAACGGCCTGCCTATCTTGAGGATTTTATTACAGCTCCCCTCAAACGGAACCCAAGGGGGAGGGGTGTTGTGAATCAATAAAAGTGAATAACCTAAATGCAAATTAGGGGTTGAAAACCTGCACACTTGATTGGTCCTTATACAACAACTTGGGATTGGGCCAGAACTAGTCCCTGATTGGCCACTTTTGGGACTTTTCTTATTGGTTAGTAGTTTGAACTTGTTGCACATTTTCATTGGTTAATAAGGCAGCAGCTAACCCTATAAAAAGGTTACTGTTGCCCATAGCGTTGCTCTGTTATGTTCTATTACTTTATTAAAGAGTTGAAATCACTGGTCAGATGTCTGGTCTCCGTTACTCTCCATACTTAACAAAAAGAAAGAAAAACAAGAAATCCAAGAAGAAACAAGCATGGCTGCACAAAGATCTCTCTGGCAAATTGAAAGAAAAAAAAGGACAAGTACAAAAAATGGAAAGAAGGACATACAACTAAGGCAGAATATCAGCAGATAGCCAGAATCTGCAAAGACGAAGCAAAGGCTCAGAATGAACAAAGACTTGCAACAAAAGTCAAAGATAATAAAAAAAGTTTCTTCCAACATATAAATAACAAGAAAAAAATCAAGGAAACAGTCGGTCCACTAAAGAGAGAAGATGGCAAGGAAGTAACAAGCAACAGAGAGAAAGCAGAACTGCTTAACTCATTCTTTGCATCCGTCTTCAAGCAAAAAGAAACTATAGCTCAACCCACCAAAAACATAACTGTAAAAGACAGAACAGAAATAAAAATTAAAATAAGCAAAAAAACTAGTAAGAGAACACCTGTCTGATCTTGATGAAAACAAATCACTGGGGCCTGATGGATTACATCCCAGAGTTATAAAGGAGCTGGCAGAGGTCATCTCAGAACCACTGCACCATATCTTTCAAAAATCCTGGAGCACCAGGGAACTACCAGAGGACTGGAAAAGAGCTGATGTGGTTCCCATCTTCAAAAAAGGAAAAAAAACAGACCCAGGAAACTATAGACCAATCAGCCTAACATCAATACCTGGGAAGATACTGGAAAAGATAATAAAAAAACAGATCTGCCAACATCTAGAAACAAGTAAAGTAATAACTAGCAGTCAGCACGGGTTTGTTAAAAACAGATCATGCCAAACCAATCTTATTTCATTCTTCAACACAGTGACTACATTAGTAGACCAGCAAAATACTGTGGACATAATATATTTAGATTTCAGCAAGGCATTTGACAAAGTAGACCACAACCTACTTCTTAGTAAGCTAGAAAAATGTGGAATAGATAGCACCACCACTAGATGGACTCACAACTGGCTGGCAAATCGTACTCAATGAGTAGTCCTTAATGGGTCTAAGTCTACATGGAGGGAAGTAAGCAGTGGGGTGCCACAAGGTTCCGTCTTAGGCCCAGTACTCTTCAATATCTTCATTAACGACTTAGATGAGGGAATGAAGGGGAACTTACCAAATTTGCAGATGATACTAAGCTGGCAGGAATAGCTAACACCCAAGAAGACAGGCTCAAGATCCAGATGGATCTTGACAGACTAGAACACTGGGCCGTATCTAACAAAATGAAATTCAATGTAGAGAAAAGTAAAGTCCTACACTTAGGCAAGAAAAACCAAAAGTACACATAGAGACTGGGTGAAACCAGGCTCAATAGCAGTAACTGTGAGAGGGATCTTGGAGTCTTAGTGGACAACCAGCTAAATATGAGCCAGCAGTATGCAGCAGCAGCCAGAAAAGCTAATGCAATCATAAATTGTATTAACAGAGGGATACAATCAAGATCAAGGGAAGTACTAATACCACTCTATAAAGCCTTAGTAAGACCACACCTAGAGTACTGCATCCAGTTTTGTTCACCACATTATAAAAAAAAATGTTGAGACTCTAGAAAAAGTACAGAGAAGAGCAACCAGGATAATTATGGGACTGGAGGCTAAAACATACAATGAACGTTTGCAGGAACTGGGCTTGGCTAGTCTAGTAAAGAGTAGGACCAGGGGAGACATGATAGCGGTCTTCCAATATTTGAGGGGCTGCCACAGGGAGGAAGGGGTCAAGCTATTTTCTAAAGCGCCTGTAGGTCAGACAAGGAATAATGGATGGAAACTGAACAAGGAGAGATTTAACCTGGAAATAAGGAGAAATTTTCTGACAGTGAGAACAACCAACCAATGGAACACCTTGCCCTTGGAAGTTGTGGGAGCACCATCAGTTGAGATTTTCCAGAAGAGACTGGACTGCCATTTGTCAGAAATGGTGTAGGGTCTCCCACTTGGGCAGGGGGGTTGGACTAGATGACCTACAAGTTCCCTTCCAACTCTGATTATCTGTTAAATCTGTTAAACATGGTCATTTAAAATATACGAACTTCCTACAGTTTCTCTGCAAAAATAGCAAAGAAAAAGCATTACAACATGCCTAAAGTAAAAGCTTTTCTGAGTTTTGGGAATTCTAGTTTTATAAGACACATCAGAAATATTACTATATATTTGCAAATGTAAAAAGGGTATTTGTTGCCGTACCTAAACTAGCCTAGGATATAGAGTGCAAGGCTGTTTCAGCCAAGAGAAAGAACTTTATTTATTATTCAAACCTTTAGAATATTTTTTTCTGGTGGGGAAATAGCTACACCTTGTATAGGTAATCCTCAACTTATTCCTTGGTTTCAGTCTCATCTTAAATAAGTGAATATAATGAAAGAGAAACTTCTTAATGTGAGATTATTCTTGTCTTGATTAAAATGAGGTGGGACTAAAATAGGCATTAAAGGCATAAGCAAGAATTTGGCAGACTGATGCCATCCATATATCTTGGCCAATTCTAGAACGTGCTCAATGCATTTGGAGGTCATCTCATTGCTCATCACAGATTTAAATGCATATTCAACAAAAAATGAATATTTTAAAAAAATCATCTGTAATTATTTTTAAGCAAAACATCAAATTGTATATACATTTAAGTTGTTTTTTTTACTGATTTCACATACTTCTAAAGAAATATCTGCATCATAACATAAATCTACAGTTTAAAAAAAATCTATAACTCTTTTTTTAGAGTAATTTCTAGTTCAGCAAACACTTATGTACTTCCTTATGAAAAATTGTAAGCATAGCTTACTCTTGAATTGCACCAACTCACCTGGTTTACTTTCATTTGGCTTATATTGCACTTCCTCAACGCATTCTGCAGGAAACCATCCAATATGTCCCCGAATACTGCCTTCCCAGAATCCACCCTCACCGATGTTCAAAACTAGAAATAAAATAGGAAAATACAGTTTGTTTTTTGTTGTTTAATGTACAAGTTTAAATATTAACCCCCAAACTTAAATAGGTAGGTTGCGCTTAATGTGGTTTCAAATAGAGCAATATTCTATTTAGTGCAAATTATAAATTGATATTTGGTCATGTTTAATATAAGCCCAAGTTCTGATATTGCTAGATTGCGTTTAAGTTACTATATGTGCAGTTGTGGTTTTAGACACTGGTTGTCATGTAAGCAGAATGGGAAATGGAAGGTTCTATTTGAGGTAAGCTCAAAAAAGAAGAATCTCATTTTGAAGAATGGTAACAGAATGCATGAGATAACAGGTATAGTTTGGATGTGGGTTTATCTTCCAGCTTGTCCTTTGTTCACGTAATTTACTTATTTTAAATATTTATTGATAGTATTGTTGGTCATAATCCATTACACTGCAATAAAAAATCACCAAAGCCACATAAAGTTAACTGCAGGATATAGACTACATAATGATCTTATTAGCACATCCTGAATTAGGTGATGAAGAAGTTTTTGTCAGTGTACAGTAAGCTTACTTTTAAGAATTATACGTAGATTTTTTTTTGTTTTTATTTTGCTTTCTATAACCACTCTGCAATTTGCTAAAAAATTAAATTTTATATATATTCTTTTAAACTTTTGTTATATTTCATTAATAAACATATGAAAATTATGTTTAAAGTTTTTCATTGCCTATTTCTGTGGAACTAATTACCCTATTTCCCATAGAAATATCACTCTGTATAGTGCAGATTCAAATAATGCAACCATTTCATGGGATTTCTCATCAGCAATATTTGAGATGCACTTGTAATAATTTTTGCAATAAACTAAGGACACCATCAATAATTAATTTATACAAATGATTTTATGCTCAAGTATAAATAAAAATGCAATATAATATAAGCATTTACATACAGTATTCATACTGTGCTAATAAAACATGTCTTGATAAAGGATTAAGGAATTTAAAACATATTTAAAAGTAAACTAAATAATCTAATATAAAAGGTGCCTTACAAAGCATTTTTCACACATTTAGCAGAAGTTCCTTCAGTGAATCTTAAAATGGGTTATCAGAAATTCCAGAAAATTAGTCTTTGAAAATTCAGTGAGACTTCGAAGATACTGCTTCAAAGTAAGTGTCACATGAATTGCAAGTTAAGCCTTTTATAAACTGGGTTGGAAATGATACCACTTAATTTTATTCAAAGGAAAGGCACTTGTGCCAATGACTAACAGCTTTAGTTGAAAAACCATGTTCATACAACCCACAATCAGTATAGAGCACATTTTTGAATTCTATAAAAATCTTCACTGCTAAAGAAAAATGTTCTTAAAAGACTAAAAGTGCACATTGACATTACTTTTTAAATGTGGGCACTGTAAAACTGACAGCTACAAAAACATTACTAAGGATTCTTTTTAAAGACACTTGACAGATCTTAATGATTACTCCCTTGCCTTGTGTGAATCTGATTGGAATATAGTAATGTTTCTCTCTCAATTCTTCCTCAGAAAGCACATTACCTTGCACAGGGAATGTATTCTAGCTAAGTACATTTAATTTTAATATGTTTAATAAATCTTACATGTTATTAAATGTCAAAATACATAATAAATATTAAATAATATATATCATTCAAATTAATATATCATTCACTAATATATTACACTTCTTACTCTCCAAAATTTTCACTTTATCATTAATTTGCTCACATCTCTAGACATTAGTTTTACAGAGATTTTTTTTCTTAACTTCCCCTTTCTTATCCTCTTTCATCTTTACATCTTTCATCCATTTTTTAAAAGCTTTCAATATAGTATCCAGTGATTTAGTCAATTTAGTATCAAGTTATTCAGATAATTTAGTGCACAATTTCTTAAACTTTTTATGAAGTAAATCCTGATGGTGTAATTCTTCTCTTTGCAAATTGTTCTAGCAATCCTTCATTCCTCTCCTGTATTTGCTGCTTTTCTGATGGTGGCCATACTAACATTGTTATTCAAAGTGAAAGTGTCTCAGTTGCAAGGAAAAGAATAAAAAGCAAAACTTTTATTTTTTTCTATCATGTCTTCCAGTGCCCTTAATATTTTTGTTTCAAATCAAAATCTCTAGTTATAATCAGCCTCAGTGCCTCATTCATATTACCTTTGTATAATGCATTAATTGTTTGATTCTTTAATAGTAAAAAGAATATTCCCATGAAAGTCCAGTTCATTTGTGTATTTTAATTCCAATTTCCTCAACAGCACTTCCATCACAAAATTACTTTTCAAAATAATTATTCCTTTTATCTGTTTTGAACTTTCTTGTTGAACTGTAAGAACTTTGAAGACTTTAAAATCCTCTTTTCCTTTTTAGTCCAAAAAAGTATATTAACCCATTATGTGCAATTCTCTTATCCTGCCAGTCAAAATATCTCTATTTAGCTATAAATTAATTACCAGTACATTTGAAAAAGGTTAAGAAAGTGAGTCTTTGTGAACCTTTTGTCCATATCGATGTCAACTCTCTCAGCTAAACCAGACAGGAAACATGACTAGGTGAACTAGATTTTTTGTAATTTATTTATATTTATTGTAAGGGTACATTAATAGAATGTTTCAAGTCTGAAGACTCACTATTACCATCACCACCATGTTTAACCATCTCATCCAGTGGTTCCCAAACTTTTTCAGTCCACCGCCCCCTTTGTGCTATAAACTCATCCTCGGTGCCCCCCACCCAGGGGTGGGATTTAAATTTCTGTGGGCGTGGCCTAATTTGAGGGTGTGGCTTGCTGGTCACGTGACTGGGTGGGCGTGGCTTGCTGGCTAGGCATGGCTTGCTGGTCACATGACTGGATAGGTGTGGTTTGGTGGTCATGTGACTGGGTGGGCGTGGCCACGTGAGTGGCAAACCAAATACAAGTGGTCCTCACTTAACCTCACTGGTTAGTTGTTTAGAAAAGTGTTCTAATTTATGACTGGCCTCCCCAGAGCTACTTGACCTGTTTTTGGAGTTTTGACAGCCATGCACACACATACACACACACACTCCCTTCTAACTCTGCTGGAGCAGGTCATTAGATTAGAATTGGCAAAGCATCTCTGATTAGATTCTAGTAGTGAATAAAATCTAATCAGAGATGCTTTGCCGATTCTTGTTGATTTGTTTTATTTTTATTTCTTTATTTTATGTTGCTGAATTGCCTTGACATATGTGTCCTTTCTTGTGCACAACCCAGAAGCTTTTGTTATTCTTTGCAGCAAAAATTACCAACTTCTGGCTTTGCTCGACATTTCAAACGTGCCACCACTGCCGTGTTTTAGGTGCCAGGCCCGCAGGTCCACCCCATTGAGCCCACTGCACCGGAAGGACTTGCCAAAGCAAGTCCGAGCAAAGCAGTGCACCAAGTCAATGGGGTGAGCCTGAGAGAGGGAAAGAGTGAGAGAGAAAAGAAAGAGAGAGAGAAAAAGAGAAGGAAGAAAAGAAAGAGAAAAGGGAAAGAAAGAAAAAAGGACAGATGAAGACAGGGGGGATGGAAGGAAGGGACAGAAAGAAAAAGAAATAAAGAAGGAGGTAGGGAGGCAGGAGAAAGATAATGAGATATCTATTCTAGTCCAATCACCTGCTCCAGCAGGGTTAGAAGGGAGTGTGAGAGTGTGTGTGTGTGTGTGTGTGTGTGTATGTGTGTGTTCTCCTTGTAATTTAGCAGTACATTTTGGTTTTGCCTTCTTCAGAATTGGCACTTTAAAACATTGGGGAAAAGTAATTTTTTAGGGTGGAGATCTGGTCCAATGGATCCTGTTTAAAGCCTCAACAAAATGTGAGAGCTTCCTGATAGTCTTGACCATGTTTCGTCCATAAGACCTTTAATAGAAGCCAAAGATGTTTCAATGTGTTGGCAAAGATGTTTCAATGTGGAAAAGGGCCTCAGTCTAAGCTAGGCCTCATTTCAATCTGATGCATCAGGTCTCTCTCTCTCTCTCTCTCTCTCTCTCTCTCTCTCTCTCTCTCTCTCCCTCTCTCCCTCTCTCTCCCTCTCTCTCTCTCTCCCTCCCTCCCTCCCTCCCTCCCTCCCTCCCAGACTGGCTTTGCTCTACTTTCCCAATGTGCCTGTGGGGCCGGTGCTTCAAACATGGATGGATGGATGGATGGATGGATGTATAGAGAGACAGAGAGAGACAGAGAGAGACAGGTAGGTAGGTAGGTAGGTAGGTAGGTAGGCAGGCAGGCAGGCAGGCAGGCAAGCAGGCAGGAAGACAGACAGACCTTTTGGATGGATGGATGGAGGGATGGATAGGTAGGTAGGTAGTAGATAGATATATTGGTAGATAGATAGGTAGGCAGGCAGGCAGGAAGACAGACAGACAGAACTTTTGGATGGATTTATGGATAGCTAGGTAGGTAGATAGGTAGATAAGTAGGTAGGTAGGTAGACATTGGTAGGTAGACAGAAAGACAGGCAGGCAGATAGGTAGGTAGGCAGGAAGGCAGACAGACAGACAGACCTTTTGGATGGATGGATGGATGGACAGACAGACAGACAGACAGACAGAACGTGACAGTGGCGGCACTTTGGGAAAGTAAGGCAAAGCTGCCATCACCACATTCGAGACGCCGGTTCCGGAGCAGTGCAACAGTCAATGGGGTGAGCCTGCAGTGCCGGTGCCTCAAACGCCCCCCTGCCACCTTTTAGCGCCCCTCTGCCAGCCCCCTTGGGGGCGCTAAGAGGCGGCAGGGGGCATTCAAGGCACCAGCACCGCAGGCTCACCCCATTGACTGTTGCACCGGAGAGATGCAAGGGACTCAATGGGGTGAGCCTGCGGAGCCGGCGTGTCGAATGCAGCGGTGGCACATTGCAAAAGTAGAGCAAAGCTGCCTGCTCTGGGCTTCCTCAACCTTGCCCTGCTCCAGGAAGGAGGGAACAGCACCACCCTCTACGACGTAAGTGCCCTGACGGGGGGGGGCAGCTTGGGAGGCTGAT